GTATGTATAAATTTGAGTGTGTTGTGAGCAATATATAATATAGTAATGTGTATGATTTACGAGGAAAAGCGCGTATCGCAATGATGGTGGTCCCAAAAAAAAATAAAACGGGCCTAAAGATTAATAATAATATTATTGTAATATTCCGGCGGGGGCGGCCTAGGAGCACGATCGTGTGTGACGTGCAATGAAATGTTATTTAACTAAAAACTAGATATATTCACTCCTTCTGTCCCTTTCTCTCTGTCTGCCCGTCTCTTTATATATTAATATATTATTATTATTATGTGTGTACACACATGGTTTTGTGGTAACACGTGTGGCCAGCGGCCGCATATACAGTGTGTACTAGAGTGACCGCGATAGAATAATATATTATTTAATATTATTATTCGGACGCCTCTTGTAATTAGGTATACTATACGATTGTAGAATTCTGAGGCCTGCGAGTGTGTAATACAAGCCAGTAATATCGCCTAATAACGCTTAACGAGTTTTTAGCCTTTCATCATACCGACGGACGAGCAAATAAATATATTCCAATTCGATACTCCAATGAAAATAAAAATAATTCTGTTTTATGGTAATCGAGCACAAACAAATTAAGAATATAACGATTATTAACGTTTTCTGTTACTACACATTTAGTGTATAATATCATTTAGTCAACAACGAATGCAATAGGTATTAGTAGAAATTATGAATGTTGTGAAACAAGATCACTGGTTTCGAGAACACCACGATAATATTGTTAAAAATTGCAATAACTGTGTATGGAATTAATTTTTAATAGCTAATAGATAACTATTTGGCACACTCAACTGGTGTTTATTACAGTGGTTGTTGTCAAAAAATATATTCTCATTTCTTATGCACGAATAAAAATAATCTTAATCTTTGGGTTGGTAAAAAATGTACACACCTGTAACCATCTATAACGAACACGCATACATCAACCTGACTTTTCACGGTAAATGTCAGAAAGGTCTTAATAGCGGTATTTCGTGTAAACTGACAAGCGAGCGCCCACGATCTTGTTTTTTACTTATATTTACAACCGATTATTATTAATGTTATTATTACAAGCTCAACAAATATTTTATGGTCTCGTCATCAGTGAAGTGAATGAGTACAAAAACACCTAAAAAACATCATATTTTAACCGTGTGTAGTTAACAACGCCCGCTCGATTGTCTTGGCCGCAATTCGTTGCATGATCAATTGTTATAAACCACATCCCAATATTTCAAAATATTTTTCCCTTCTTAAGATACAGCAGTTGATCGTCACGCGGTATCCCCAAGTTTAAACGGAACAAATTCATTACAATTAAGTCGACCGCATCGTTTAGGAAATAAATCATATTTTATAGTGTGAACGAGTCGAATACCGCGTACAACGTATATGGTATGTTTTCTATAAACAGTGTTTAAAAGGATAAACGATGTGTTTATGGTGCAAAATCTTCAGTGGCCTATGTACTATACTTTGGCTTTGCGTTCATGGAAATTTAATTATCTGACCGTTTGTGAAAATGTCTTGCAATTTCATTATAATATTGTATGTATGATGTTTACAAAGCGGTATGACTTTTTTAGAACTTGCAAAGCGGACGCCTTAAAATGTATAGACCGTGAAGCGAGTGGTAAATGTGGGAATAGTGTACGCTACGGTTGTCACCGCGTTGCTCAAACTGTGTAGTCTCTGCAATTTACACCCACTTTACACATAATATATATTATATATATTTCAGCGGCAGACAAGGGCGGATGCCGACGAGATCACACCTTAAGAAAACTCACGAACCGACCCATCAACAGTGAACAGTATACGTGGATTCGCAAACCCGGCTGGTACTTTAATTATAATATACCTACACATATTATCAACTGTTTGTACAGCGAAAAGGTTGTCCGTATCCTCTGCTCTGCGACGACCGGAACAGCTATTTGTTTTGACTCCGAAAAACGTAAACGAAACCGGAAGGCGGAAACTTAATAATATTACACATTGTACACAAATAATGTATGTGTATGTTGTGCGGACAGTTATCCCAATTAATTATTATTAAAATGTTTGCGCCAACGATAACAGTAACACACGTGGTACGTTTAACCTATACAAATATTATAATACAACATAAAAGGAGCATCAGTGCCCATACCCTTTTGGACAAGATGAGATGTACGAAAACTGATGATAAAAAACTAAAATTTTAGTACGTGTTAAGTGTTTATGGATTTTAACCTTATTAAAGGAAAACTTTAAAAAGTTCCAGAGAAAATTGCTAATCACGAAAAGGTAATTTTATGTGTTTAATATTATGTTACATGTTCAAACGTATAGTATATTATTATGACTATGACCAAAGAAAAAAAACATCACTGTAAAGCCGATAGCTTTCTCGCTGTGATTAGAATTTAAATTTGTACATACGAGTTATAAAGTGGCAAATAGTTTATTTCCTTAAAAAATCAACAGACTTGTTCAATAATAACATAACGTGATAATCAACTTGTTTGTTTTATTTTAACTTTGTTTTTGTCTTGACAATAGAACCGTACCGACGAGACGTGTCTTAATAAAAGAACGATCTGTATTTAAAACAATCGTAAAAAAAAAAACAATATTTAACAAAGAATAATTGCAGTAATTCTAATAAATAATAGATAAACACATATTATAAGGAACTGCGATTAATAAAAGATAACGCCAAGTTGACAACGATAACTGAAGTTTGATAATATTTAGGATTATGTTACGTTTGAAAAATATTCTATATTCGTGGGAAAAACGGAATTATTCGATGTTTGACAGGAACTCCACTAAAATGTATTTATATTTTAAATATTTTCAACATTTCGTAGAAACGTCTTACTAACCTGAAATTATCAATTAAATAATACAATAATCTTTATCAAAACGTTTCTTTGGAGAAATTGTATACAATTTTAACTTTACGGAGCTTCAAGCGTGTCAGTTTCAGGGAAATTGAGAATTGCGTTACCGAAGAAGAAGCCCCTAAACAACATTATCGGAAAACAATTGTAAACTTGTTCCGCGTTCCTGTAAGCACGTGGCACGTCACGAACTACTTCTCAGCTTTGTTTGATAATACCGATTTTCATTAACAAATAATGATATAGTTAAACAAATTAAAAATAAATATTTATCTTAATATTTCAATATTTGTACTAAGTATAAAAATGCACAACACTATTAGATGAGTGAGAAGAAAATGTATAGTTATTTTCTATCAAAGTCCTGTTTTAGATTTTAATGTAAATAACCTTTTAAATATTTTCCCGGTGGTTATTATCGAAATATTAGTTTTGAAGATATTGTCAACACACATTTCGTGTGTTTAAAAAACATGCCCTAAAAGGGTGACGCTTGCTTCTGTTATCAAATAAATCTCCCCTGAACGGACTCCGATAAATAATTATACAATTTGTTCAGAATATTAACAAAATAGTTTAGATTTAGCTATTTGTAATCAGCTTAGCTCTGATCGTTTTAGAGTTGTTTATTTTGAATTTCACCGAAAGTAACTTTGTCGACCAGTGTTGGCATTTTTTTTTATAATAAAATAATCGACCATTTTTAATGGAATAATTTAAAGGTGAGATTTTAATGTTTTTTAACACAATTTAAAAAAAAAGAATTTACATTTCCTGCAAATGTAATTATTGTAAGATAACGAACCACATGATTTGTCTTGTTCGTTTACAATTACCCGACCTGGCGTCATTTATTTTTCATAAATATAGGTTTATGATAAAAAGAATGACGATCACAAGAAAAATAATTGGAGATAAACCAGCATGCCGGATAATTTCTGACGTCGAAGATAAAATATTATTTTTTCATTACTTGCAATCAAATTATACCGTTCGGTCGCGATAATTGTATTACAAGGTACACCTCATGTCGTTTTTACCAAACCATAACACTACCGTTGGTGTAAATTTTTCACAATTTATTTACGACCGTGACCGGCACCTATAATGAATCAAAAACAATTCTTGTCACTTTTATATCATTAAAATTATAAGCATTCGATATTTTATAGGTATGTTTAAATAATTTTAGAGTCCTATGAAGTTTAACTTTTCAAGATCAGAATAAAATACCGACTTTTTTTTTGGAAATAAGTATACTATTTAAAAGCATATCTCAAAAGACATAACTTGGTAAAGGAACAAAAAAAAGTTATTATTTAGTTATAAATAACGTAAGAAAAATATCCAATTTTGAGGCAAAAATTTCATATAATGCTGTCTATGCCCCAAGCCCAAATCTATTATAATTCAAAGTGTAAGATTTATAGAATACATTAGCATAAGTTTCAGCTGCTAATATATGCCAATCTGCCGCCGAAGAGTAATTGAAGTTTAAAAATGTTGGTAAAAAGCGTTACGGTAATCCTTATCCTAGCCTAACTTTTTCAAAAATGTGTATTTCTGTCAACATTTGTTATACTGTACATTCATGAATTGCGATTCTTTATTTGTTTAAATACCGAAGTTACTTTAATATGTTACTTGGATACTTGGTACTAAATCTTACTTCTATAAAGTTTTAGGTGAGTTAAAAAATATAATATACTCTAGTTATTTCTTGAGTTATTAATATAAAATTTTCCGGAAAAAAACCTTTAGGACCACTATGACGAGCGACAGCGTCTGAACGCGGAGAAGAACGAGAAAACTATTTTTATTGTTACACACTCGAGGGAAAAAAATTGCGCACTCGACCCAAAAATTACACTTACACACACAATGTGCGGTACGTGACCGATAGCAGTTATTCTGTAAATTTTGTTACTAATTATCTCAGATTATGGTTTACCGCAAAACACACGTCTGCGCTTCCCTACTCTTCCGCCGTTTTACCAATATCACCGTCCATGTGTGCACACCTGACGCATCTGACATTTCCGGTAAATATGCTCTGATAACGTCCGCCGTTGTCCTACGTCGTGTCTTGGGCGAGTTTAATAAGGAATGACCGCATTGCCGCCGAAACTTTAGTGCTAAGTGGTCACTTTTGAACCGGCTACGACCATGGCGCTCGTCAAGTCTCTCGTGTTTGCATTGGCCGTTTGCTGTCTGTGTAGCGCGACACCAATTCGCAGTAAGTACGACTTGTCCATAAAAATAAAATATCCGTAAAAATTGTATATTTTAAATAATTTAATAAGCAAACCGCGATGCCCGACGAAATGCTAACTAATAAAATGAACGTTATTTCCGAACTGCGATCAAACATATTGTATTAGAAAACATTATGTAAATAGTTAACCGAAGGTGTCAAATTATAACGTTAGACCGAGGAAATAATTCGATCCGGTTTTACGATTTTGCTGTTATTATCATAACACTCCGTGTGGTAGGTGGTCACAAAAAAAATGTCATATTTCAAAACAACTGATTATTTAGACATAAAAATGCCGTTTATGTATTATGTTATTTTCGTTGACATATTGTTTTTTAATTTTTTAATTACGGATTGTTTCGACTATAATTGTTTAAAATTCTATACCTTCCATGAAATTTCATCAGAACAATTATAATACTTTAAGGAACTTGTATCAATTTAATACATTTTTATATTTTGAAACACTATTTCCTATTTCCTTATTGGTGATATTTGCGTCCTGTATATAACAAGACATAAATAACACCAATAAGTAAAAATTAAAGTGTAAGCATAATAAAAGATTAAGAAATTTTGTATTGTACTACATACAGAGTGATCATTTTAGCTATAGATTTAAATAAGAAATTAATTTTTCCATATTTTTTTTTTATAAAATGTGATCTTAATTTTTTTTATTTTAGTTTGTTTTTACCCCCTTCTCCCTAACTTAGTTTTTTTAGATAGCAACTTTTGAAACTTAAATAATAACATGTATTTTGTTAACTTTTTTAATTCAAAATAATGTACTTAATCATTTGGACAGGTTGATAACTAATTTTAGATAAGTACTTTTAATTTTATAAGAGTTGAAGGGGAAGTGCGGTTGGAAAGTGCGCGCGGATAGGTACCGATACGACCAGTCAAAATGTTTAGTACATTATTCTCAATTAAAAAAGTTTATTGAAAAGTATGCGTTACCATCTAAGTTTTAAAAGTTGTTATTAATAAAACTAAGCTGGGAGGGGGTAAAAACAAATAAAATTGTGAACAATTAAGATCACATTGTATAAAAACATAAAGGAAGCAAATAATTCAATTTCTTATTAAACCCTGAGGTATTGAGTGGTTCACAATTAAATGATCATAGGTAAGTATGGCAAATGAAAAAAAAATTATTGTAATTATTCTGGAAATTCAGTAGCTCAAAAATAATTTCAAAAAATGTAAAACTTAAAATTAAAACAAAAGCCTCCAAAAAATAATTTGAAAACAATTATAGTTAAAAAAGTATCAATAAAAGTTAAACCAGTAAAAAGTTTGTTCAATTAAAATGACAATCTTTCAATGAACTCATTTAATTTATTTAAACATATACGAGTAATTTAAGTAGAGTTTATAAATAATTCTCAAGAATTATCAAGAAGGCAATTCCGTTTAGAAAAGCATAACTTTTAGACCTGTATTTTACTATAAATCAAAAAATTATAATTAAAACACAATTACAAAAGAAACCATTATTTAAAATTTATTTATTTATAAATCTTTACATTGCGCTATTTTGTTTCAAAAGATATTATTCTTTTGAACAATAAAACATTTAGAATATCCTATTAAAGTTAAAGAAAATACATATATAAATTAATAAAGAATTGTAAATTTAGAAAGAAGTCCAGACGATTCAAATGTTCCTAGTATTTTGGATAATACAAACAAAACAGCAGAAGCAGAAAGTATACCAACAGCTGATAATCCAAATCCAGAAGAAATATCAATTGTGGAAAATCCTGAATCGGTAGAAACAGACCGGGCCCAAGAGAAACAAGAAATTAATGTAGACAAAGAAGAAAATAATAAAACACAGGCTCTTTCAGAAAAAGAAGTCGATCTTAATCTCAAACAAGATTCTAGCGTTGACAAATCAGCTCTACCAGAAAAAGAAGTAGATCTTAATATTGAAAAAAATATCAACATTGACAAACCAGCTTTACCAGGAAAAGAAATCGATGTTAATCTAAAAAAAGATATTAATATTGACAAACCAGCTCTACCAGCAAAAGAAGTCGATCTTAATATTGAAAAAGATATCAACATTGACAAACCAGCTCTACCTGGAAAAGAAATCGATGTTAATCTAGAAAAAGATATTAACATTGACAAACCAGCTCTACCAGAAAAAGAAATCGATGTTAATCTAGAAAAAGATATTAATATTGGCAAACCAGCTCTACCAGGAAAAGAAATCGATGTTAATCTAGAAAAAGATATTAACATTGACAAACCAGCTCTACCAGCAAAAGAAGTCGATCTTAATATTGAAAAAGATATTAACATTGACAAACCAGCTCTACCAGGAAAAGAAATCGATGTTAATCTAGAAAAAGATATCAACATTGACAAACCAGCTCTACCAGGAAAAGAAATCGATGTTAATCTAGAAAAAGATACTAACATTGACAAACCAGCTTTACCAGGAAAAGAAGTCGATCTTAATATTGAAAAAGATATCAACATTGACAAACCAGCTCTACCAGGAAAAGAAATCGATGTTAATCTAGAAAAAGATATTAACATTGGCAAACCAGCTCTACCAGGAAAAGAAATCGATGTTAATCTAGAAAAAGATATTAACATTGACAAACCAGCTCTACCAGGAAAAGAAGTCGATCTTAATATTGAAAAAGATATCAACATTGACAAACCAGCTCTACCTGGAAAAGAAATCGATGTTAATCTAGAAAAAGATATTAACATTGGCAAACCAGCTCTACCAGGAAAAGAAATCGATGTTAATCTAGAAAAAGATATTAACATTGACAAACCAGCTCTACCAGGAAAAGAAGTCGATCTTAATATTGAAAAAGATATCAACATTGACAAACCAGCTCTACCAGGAAAAGAAATCGATGTTAATCTAGAAAAAGATATTAACATTGACAAACCAGCTCTACCAGGAAAAGAAGTCGATCTTAATCTTGAAAAAGATATCAACATTGACAAACCAGCTCTACCAGGAAAAGAAATCGATCTCAATCTCGAAAAAGATATTGATATTGGCAAACCAGCTCTACCAGGAAAAGAAATCGATGTTAATCTAGAAAAAGATATTAACATTGGCAAACCAGCTCTACCAGGAAAAGAAATCGATGTTAATCTAGAAAAAGATATTAACATTGACAAACCAGCTCTACCAGGAAAAGAAGTCGATCTTAATATTGAAAAAGATATCAACATTGACAAACCAGCTCTACCTGGAAAAGAAATCGATCTTAATATTGAAAAAGATATCAACATTGACAAACCAGCTCTACCAGGAAAAGAAATCGATGTTAATCTAGAAAAAGATATCAACATTGACAAACCAGCTCTACCAGGAAAAGAAATCGATGTTAATCTAGAAAAAGATATTAACATTGACAAACCAGCTCTACCAGAAAAAGAAGTCGATCTTAATTGTGCAAAAGATATCAACATTGACAAACCAGCTCTACCAGGAAAAGAAATCGATGTTAATCTAGAAAAAGATATTAACATTGACAAACCAGCTTTACCAGGAAAAGAATTCGATCTTAATATTGAAAAAGATATCAACATTGACAAACCAGCTCTACCCGGAAAAGAAATCGATGTTAATCTAGAAAAAGATATTAACATTGACAAACCAGCTCTACCAGAAAAAGAAGTCGATCTTAATATTGAAAAAGATATCAACATTGACAAACCAGCTTTACCAGGAAAAGAAATCGATATTAATGTTGAAAAAAATGTATCGATCGGAATCACTCCCGGACAAGTGAAAAACAAAATTATTAATTGTCAAAAAATTGGACCAAATTTATATTATTGTGATTCCGAATTAATGGAATATTTAATAACTTTAGTATAATTACTAAATTTACCTTATTGTTTTTGAGTGAAAATAAAGTTTTTAATCCCTTTGCAATCATGATTAAGTATTTTCATCATTTGTTTTATTGTACTTCGAAACTGTATGTAATTGTAAGTACATTTTTTGTCTTAATAAAATGTAATAATATACTGTTTATGTATTTATATTCTTAATTTTGAGCTTTAATAAATAAAAATATACGCAACTTTTTTTTTTAAAACGATTAGTTATATATTTGATGTACATGTTAAGTTATTATTTCTAAATACCCAGCCATTAGTAGTTTCAACGATATTTAGTTTGAAATATGTTGCAATAGTTATTACTGATTGTTTAATGATTCATTTAAACTTCCGTTTTTAAGCATCGAGACAGTTTAATGATAAGCAATATAATAAAAACGTCTTGTTTCGATTTCTTTTCTTATATAATAAAGCAAAATATACATAATGAACGGGTCATATTTCCTGTCTGGAGCAGTTTGTGTACACGCGTTAATGTATTGCTTTTGCAGCTCTTGGCATACAACTCCGTTCGGAGGAAATAAAATAGATGTATTGAGATTTGTTATTACAATATCTTCAGACGGATGATGTCTATTTTAAATACGAAGATTTCTTTTTTTTATATTAAATTGACTATATTCCTCAATACATGCTAACAATTTTTAATAATATATTTTAGGTTGTGTATACAATATTTAAACTCTTAATCAAGTGTGAACATTTAAAAAGCATAACGATTTAGCTAGACTGCGTATCTCCACCGCCTTTCCAGCCATCGCTCTTCTATAGTTGATTTTAATATCCGATTATACATTTTTAAAATGAACAATGATTTATATTTCCGTGCAAATGGAACTATCGTTATTTTGACTGACACAACGCATCAACAAAATGTCGATGTGCACTTTGCTTAGTATGACAGTCAAATAATTGCGAAATTATTGACTGTCCAGTGATAATAATACTGTAAATTGTTAGCCTCCAGACTAGAGTCACACGAAAACAAACTGGTCTCTCAACTCGCATCGAAAACTCTCCCTGAAAATCTTGTAAGGCAGCTAAAAAGAAACTGGTCTCGAGATCTTCTCAAGAACAGCTAAATTAATGTTCTATTATCTTATTAGGTATCTCAACTGTGAGATTCCCTACTCATGTCATTCACTGTCTGTTTTTTTCTTCTCTTCTTTCTTTGTAGCTAACCAATTTACTTATTGTGCAAATTATTGTAAATATTTTTGTCAAATAATAAAAACGATTAAAAATTGTTTGTACAGTAGCTGTAGAGATTCAAGTAAAATGTCAAAAAAAAAACCGATTTGTACCGATGTAATTTTAATATTGTGAAATGAATGTGTAATTAAATGAAAATCAGCACTTACAATTAGAAGAACATACAAACATCAGTTAAAAGTTGTGTACGTGTAAATATAACATAAAATAATCTCATCACATTATAACTAACTAGTGGTTAAATTAGAAATAGTAAATTGATGCAACACTGTATGTTATTGAAAAACTTTATACATTTAAAACATTGAAAGAAAAACAAAAGTAAAGTAAACAATTAATTGATAGTGATTGTAGATATTGAATTATAATATAGAACTGAGGAAAGTATAGAAATCAGCATCCATAACGTTGCAAACCTCATTTTTTATCAAACTTTTGCCATAACTCAGAGAAAAATCTTTTAAAAAGTTTTGAAACTAGAAAAATGTAATGTTTGTAAAGCTTTTAATTTGTTATTCTATTTAAAACGACTCTCTGATAAATTTTAGTTAGATATTTCCTATGTAAAAAAAAAAAATCTTCCCATTCCTCTAAAATTGTTTCGAAAATCTATCAGATTAACAACATGGGCTGTTCCATGTTAAAGAAAAGTTGCCTGAACTAGTACAGTTAAAAAAAAGTATTCAATCGTATTTTAAATATTTTAGATAAAAAAAAATACCAATTGTGTTTTATTTTGCAAATTGATAACCGTTGAGTTGGTAACCGCTGAAATGGGTTAAAATAAAATAAGCCACAGGCATTAAAAAAAGATGTCATAAATCCCAGTTGTGCCACAAATTTAAAACATTTAAACCGTAATAAGGATAAATATTCATGAAGCATAATATGTAAAAAAAAAGGTAAAAACTTAAACGAAAAAAAAAATGTAACGGACATTATAATTTGCAGTGGTAACTCGACCTTAATACTACTAAAAGACACCGCGGTGTTCGAATCTTAATATTCCTTTAATTACCATCTATTTAACAGAGGTATGACGACAATGTAATATCATGTTCAACCCATTATTTAGCGTACTTTTACCAAAGTACCTACTCTATATAATTGTTTACTTCTGACTATTGTGTTGTAATTATTATATTTTTTTTTATAATAGCTTGCCGTCGTGAACAGGGTTTTTTTGTTTTGTTTTATTCTACACAAGTGGCACGGGTCCACTCCATATTCTCTATTACTACATTGTAATGTTTTCTGTCCGTTTGGGTTCTTCGGCATAAGTCTCCTCTGACCACTTGCTCTCTTTTCTTTTCCTTTATTTAATAACTATTTTTAATTTTATTTTCTTCTCGACGCACTCGAACCGCCACGATCATTTCCCCTCGTTGTACACCTGTTTTCGATGTAACTTCTGTACTGCCTCGGACCTCTTAAGTACTCATTTTAGCTGACTCGCGTTTTAAAATTTCCATTTCAGTCGTCGCTCTATTCATTATTGAATACACCGCTAAAATAATTCGCATAGGTAACTATCTCAATATATTTTGTCTTTCAATTCGGTAGAGAAATGCTTATCAGATAATATTTTTCATTTATAATAGCTTTAAAAGAACAATTATTTCGTAAGCAGCTGTTATCTTGGCCTAATGACAACGGTACTTATACCAAAATGTTATCTTGTATATTATTTCGTCTAAAATAGTCTCGAGCCCAGTAAATAAAGGCGTGAAAACAAATATTGCGATGATTTTTATAAATCTATACCACAGTCGCATCTCGCCATGTAAGAAAACTTTTCTTATGGCCATTAGACGGTACAGAATAATTTACTTTGTGTACACTCACAATTTGTTTTAATTGCTTTTATTTATTTTTATTTAACCTTATTCATTTTTATCACATTTTCCAAAAACTCGGAGTAACGTTACTCGAAATGTATGCATAATATAGTAATATGTTTATTGTTACTATTGACATGTATAAAACTAAAATAACAAGTGATTTAAAAATAATTGTGTGTATCACTTACAAGGAGGTGCGAATAATTTCTAAAAAACTTGAGCTAGTTAAAATATGAAGGAAATAAAAAATATAGAAAAATTGCTATCGATTTGGATTTTTTTACACAAAGTTAAAAATCCAAGGAGGGAGTAGCGGTTAGCCCCATTGAGTCCCTTTCAAATTCCTACACCTATTCGAACCGTTCGTTATAAACACACCGAGTATATCTTTCGATGAAAACAAAATAATGTATTTTGTAAGTACGTACACGGTGTATTATGTACATTAGTCATTACATCTTAATTTGTAAAAAACTTTTTTTACTGTTTTTATATTCTTTTGATTTATTTCGCTCTCTTTACTATGCCGGCTACATAATGAGTTTAAGTTATATTTATGCGTGAAGTTATAACGGATGACCAGATTTTGTTTTCTATTTCAAAAATCATAATTTATTTAAATTTATTCAAGCACACACACAGTGTGTAATAATTCTTATAAATTATTAAGCGCGTGTATGTGTGTATACATCAAAACCATTAAAACAATTCGTGTAACGCGCAAAGTGCATTCTATATACGCGTAATATAAATTATTTAAATCTTTCGGATAGTGTCCAACCAAATCCTATAGTTTATTGCATCGACTTGCCGCCTTCTGTTAATAAATTGTCATGTATTTATTAGACAATATTGCACAGAAAGAATATCAGTTGTCTAAAAAGGCGAATGACGGGCAAAATTATTGAGTTGGACCACTAAACGTGTAAACTAAATAAAAGAACCAGGCACTCGTAAGACGAAAATTAAAAAAAAACCACCAAGTCTTGTGTAAAATAAAAACTTTAATAAGCTTTTTTTCCAAAAGTGAGATTGGCTTTTTTGTATTAGATATGCATGCAAGATACTGTGACTCTACCTTTAAGACCTGCCCTTAGGACGAGGGTAGGTAATGGCGGTACTCACATGGTGAAAACGTGCGCGTCAACGAATACCGGTGGTCGGCTGAAGCTTGCGGTGGTGAACTCAGTTCGGTCCACGCGGCGATTGACCCGTTTGAAATGGCTTATGTGGTTCCGGTTAGACCGAATGGGGTCTAAGTAAGTTAGTAAGCAAGTAAGTACCACTGTTAACCGTGACTCGAGGACGACGATTTACCGGCTGATGACGGTGAGCTGCGTGCGGTGTGTGTCTGCCGCCGCGAAAACGGTACTGGCCGTCGTCCGCCGTGGCGCCGCGCCGGTGTCGAATGTATGCCGTGGCCCGCCCGATCGGGGGAACGTCTTCGGCCGATAGGGTGCGCTACCCCTCACCCCTATATCGTAGCCTACACTGCTCCAAGACAACCGTCGTCGGGGGTGACGCATACTTGAAACCGGACAGACGACAAACGAGAGAAATTTATTGTAGGGTTTGGTTTCCAAAAATAGTGATTTCTTCATTGGCAAAAACCAGTAAAATCGAACCATTACTTACAACTGTAGTTCCTGTGATATTGTGGTCAGTAAAATGAAGAATTTTCTTTTGATCGTCCTAGAAAATTTTAAAATGTTGATTTATCTGGTTGTTATGTTTGAAGCAATTCAATTCGCCTTTTGCGGAAACCTCTCTTCCCCCACTTATTTAGTGTCGAACTTTTCTTTTAAAACAGTTACTATTATTACTTTTGAAATAACAACGTTCTTCTTTTCGGTCGGCGCTCTCACACTCTCCAACTAACCCTTCTTAATGTGTTTAAAAGTTTTGTTTCTACATAATGCTCGTAGATTTTAACTGTTTTTAATCAAATAATTAGTAATAACTATTTAAGTTGAAGTTTTCAAAAGAGTGTTACGCGACCACGTAAGAAAAAACGTGGTCACTATGATTAGTTTTCAGAGGCTTTTGAGTCGTTTAAGAGTAAAAGACACCTGTTAAAGGCTTCCTACAACTGTAATTAGTAACAACGTTATAGCTATTTGAAAATGCGTAAAAAATTAAGTTTTAACTTTTAGTTCATGAAACCCCTTTAATTTATGAAATTCGTCAACTTACAGACATTTTTTCTTCTCTTTTATTAGCAAAACAATCTGTACAATATTTACAATAAGGTTTTTTGTAGACAATATATGTATATAGCTTGAGTAATGGCATGCGAGGAAGCCACCCATTGGTAACACCCCAGTAAAATATTAAATTTTAATTTTAGCTGTTGGTTTTATGTTATTAGGTCGCGATTCCAGTTTCTTTAACTTACAGACATAAAAATAATTCTGTTTTATGTATTTGATAATTGATGTTTTTGCTCTAAAGCCAAAGGGGTCTACTATGCTTAGGTTAGAAAAATATTCAAAAACTAAAATATAATCGCTTAGCTGGTAATCTAAAAAAAAAAGGGATTACCAAAACTAGAAAATAAAAAAATTAGTGTTTTGTGACATCATATTTTAAACTAATATTATGAGAAAAAGAAACTTGTACCGAACCCCTTTTATACATAGGAGTGTAACGTCCTCTTAAAACGTCCAAAGTAATTAACACTACATAGAATTCTAGACATGATAACTTCGACGAAAGAAGTTCTAAATGAGTAACATAATTTAAATTCACACTTAAAAAAAAATAAAATTAGTATTATGAATTGATAGAGCTATAGTTTCAAAAATTTAACATACATTATTTGTGTAAACTGTTGATATTCGGATTGTTGAAAACTGTATTTAGATAAAACAACTTACAAAACGGAATCCAGACTTATATATGTAACTTTGCAATACATACACGGTGATGGCCTTTAAGGACAGTGCACGGGCTAGTAAATAATAAAACGCTTTATAATTATACAACTATTATTAATAAGAATCATTAAAATAATAGATAGATATTCGATTTTTATTTATAAACTATTTTTACTGTTATAATAATAAAAATGAATAGTCTATGACTAGGCGCACTACTGGCGACTTGTATGGTTTTTTATTGACTAATAACAATCACGAAAAATAGTCATAAACGTTGTAAAGTTTTCGATTTCTTTTATTAATAAATAAACAGTTTTTTTTAGTTTTTTTTTTTTTTGATAATTTCCTATACCAAACCTCTAAATAGTTAACATTATTTATCAATACATGTCTGTGTTTTTTTATTGTGTCAAGATAAAATATACCTATACTTTTGTAAAAATATCTTCTTCGTCTAAAATAATATTTTGTGATCTGGGGGGAACCGTTATCTGCCATTTATGTTCAAAACCTAAATCTGTGTAGTAATCTTTGACGATTCTATCCACGTGTTCTTTGGTCCGCGATTTCATCGCCCTTATGGTTTCGTATGTAAATTGTCTTCTCCCTAGTGAAGCTATTTGATCAACATCAATTGGGACGGGGTTCTGTTGTTGAATACAATAGTTGTATGCGAAGGGACTCAAATTCATTGATTCTTGGTCTATCAAAAATTTCTTCAATATATTTTGATTAGATATACTTTCGTCGCCGTTACTGTTATACACACCGTTATGAGTGGGCAGCAATTTATGTATATCTATTGAGGTTTCCTTGATTTCCATTATGCTGGTAATGACTGACTGTATGGGTTGATTTGTTGTATTATCCGGTGACGTGTGCAACGAAACGAATCCAGTTAAAAATTTCAACGCGTCATACATGCATTTAAACATTAGCGACCAAATCTTGAATTGGCCAATCGCAAAATTTAAAATTTCCCATAAATGTTCATTTAACGGATATAGTTCTCTATGAACTCTAACGAGTTTCTTGCCTTTTTCGTGAATTAATCTTCGATATCGGGTCATATTGTGCGACCTCTTAATTATGCGTTTTGCCACAATATCGCTTATTTTCAGAATATTGTACATCAAATTTAAGAAATCAAACATCACGTTCGAGTAAACACATCCTAGTAATGTAACAGTCATGTAGTACTTTTCATCGACGTTTCCAGCATTCACACTGGTATGTTCTTGCTCGATATTTATAAACAATTCTTGGCCGGAAAACAAGGAAACATATTGTGCACTAACCTGATAAACGGCTTTCGGATATTCTATTCGACTCCATCCTGGGCAGGCCAAAAGTGCGTTTAGCGTGTGGGCAAGGACTTGTTTATCTTCGCAAACAACGGACTGTCGTTGATTAAACGATGTTGGTTGTTGATTGTTGGTGTTGGTAATTATTACCAACACAACAATACTGATTGACTCCCTGCTAATCATTTTACTTAATTCTAGTGTAATCGGGTATCTCAAAGTACCTGAGCGGTATGTATAACAATCGTTTAGAATAAAAAACCCAAAGCGTTTACTCTAACACCGACTGCTAAAATATGTCGTTCGCTTTTAGCTAAAATACAATAACAGTTATTTGCCAGTAGATTGTATTATTTAAAATTAATTTCAATGATATTTCATGACGTGCTTAACAGATGTATGTTTTTGTGAATATATTCGAGTTTCCGAGTCGTGTATATTTTCCAACCACGGCTGTACTGTACACACTGTCGACAAAAATTCATATATTTACTGCTACAAGACTTGAGTGTATCAAATATGTGAAACGATTAGTCATAGTTTTAACTTAAATTCGCTCGCGAAAGGTAAAACGAAGACAAAAGAGAACTATCATTTATGTGAAAAAAAAATCCCAACAGTCAATACTTGAAGTTAGACAGGTTTTTGTTAGAAATGTCTGTAGGAACGAAAATTGATTTATTAGACGCAGAGTTATGTGATAACAGAAATTAAGAAGTTTGTATAACAAGTCTAAAAACTTACACTTTCGAATAGGTTCGAGGGAAAAGAACACGGTCGTTACGTTTGTAAACAGAAACTATAAAAACTTGTAAAAACATCATTAAAAGAACAAAGTCGAAACTTTTCACAACTGTAATTTATAACTCGATAGCTTCCATGGTATAATAATTTACTTTCAAATACCTTTCAAAAGTACTGTGTATTCCGTTCCGGGGAGAGCAGGGGGGGCGGGGCATCCTACTAGAGCCAGAACAAAACGGTAGGTAGGTATAGTAATAATACATCCACGAATGCATGCATATTTCTTGTATACTATCAGAACGGGGGGATGGATGGGGGGCGTTATTTTATTTTATAAATACCCATTTGTACGAAGGGCGTGAGAAAAGGGTCGGTACAGAAGAAAATGAAATAAACACTTCTCGTTAACCCCCAAAGAGCTTAACGTCTCGTACGGTCTTTGGTCGTTGTTCACAGCCAGTCCGTACATTGTATACGTTCGATAATAATAATAATTATTGTAATCGTCATAGTTGTGTGTTTATACATTGTACTCGTCCGTCAGATATTATATTTTGACAAAATATAAACGAGTTGGGTCTGAATAAGAACGTCGGAAAAGCATCGCTTTAGCATGCCAGACGGCGGCGGCGGCGACTGTACAGATTACCGCGCGAATCGATCTCATCGCCGACAACGGAAAACTGCGACAAGAAGGCACCGACCACAATTATTATTACAACCCTAAACCGGGCGAAAAGTTAGCTTTTTACATTTTATCTATTTGCACACGCTCCGTATTGTCTATATGTTTGTATTTATACATACACACGTTTGGACTTTCGACAACAATAGTCGGCTTTAACGTTTTGATTATCGATTGTCAAAGTCCACTAGCCATACGCACTTATCGAAACCCAAGGATTGGGCCAAATTATAGCCGGCAAAAAGGCTGGTTGTTTTGGTTTTGTATATAACAGTATGTAGTTTAAAACATAATACAAGAGTCTATATAATATCAATAATTGTAATTAATACAAAATCCATTAGGTGGTCTAATAATGTGTCATACTCAATTTAAACAAATAAATCTTTGTTTTGTGTGTTAAAAACTAAAACAATCGGCCAATACTATTAATTATATTAATAATATTATTTCCTAACAAAGGCACTCGAATGTTTAAAAAAATGTACTTACCTACCGTTTTTTAATTTCTTTTTTTTTTTGTCATCTAACCGTTGGCAATATAATTGCAATAAAATCAATTTGCAGATAAAAATATAGCCATTATTTCCTAGAAAGTTATCAAAAGTAAAAATATTACTTGAATTCCTCTTTTCTTCTTCTTTAACCTATCTCATAAAAATGAACTTTCTTCCATAATGTATAAATACCATTTTTTTCACCTCTGAATCTCTTCACATAAATCTCTCTTAAAATCGTATAATTTTGCCTTGATCGTGGTTATAACACAAAAAAACGTGTAGAACAAATACCAAAGATAGGTTATAAAAAGTATATTAAAAAATTAATCCAAAAATAACGTTTTTATGCGTCTTAAAAAGTATAAAATAACTTTCCAAGGGTCTTGATAACCAAATAGAACAGGTGAACTAGAAAAACGTGGGGCGCATCTTTCTACTTAGATATTAAAACCTAAGCTTTCATGCTAATGCATTAAGTTGCCTCTCATAATGCTGTCTCTCTAACCGAACGGATCAGAAAGTGATAGTATGACTTTTTATCGGAAATGAAATATAATGGATTTCCGTGCCACTTGCCTTAAATTTCATTGCAAATTGAAAAGACTTAATTGCTAATCTCTCCAAAGTTTGTTTTATGAAGGTTGCTTCAATTTTTTTGTTAACTCCCTAATTGCCTAACATTTAAAGTAATGTGGTGCTCAATTTTACATGACATGTCATCAAGTATTATTTTATTTACAAGAGAAAAGATGATTGTGCAGAAGAGAATATTATTATATATTCAGACGTGTGAAGTAGTAAAGATGCGACCCACGTTTTTCTAGTTCACCTGTCCTACTTGGTTATCAAGACCCCCGGAGGGTTATTTTATACTTTTTAAGGCGCATAAAAACGTTATTTTTAGATTAATTTTTTAATCTACTTTAGTTATTTTGTTCTTTTTCGTTTTTGTATGTACGTACCTATCTATATATTTAAATGTACAATGTTATATAATGGATATACATACATATATTTTAAAAGAATTAATTCAAAAATCCATAGAGTAATATTAACATCCGACAGGCATCTCCTTGGAATCGGACTGGACTGCTCTTTGGACATACATTAGAAAAGGCTGGATGGTCAGAAGGATTATCATAAGAATTAGTAATCAATTTAAAAGCTTATCATTTTAGATTTATTACTGTATAAATTATCATAAAAGTTGTAAGAAAATGCAAAAAAGTGTAATGATGGGAACGGTTTTGAACCTGGTACCGCTCACATCTAGCACCGTTCACGCCCAAACGCATCACGCATAATTTTTGACGGCAGGTGAGAAATAAGTCTTTTTGAATTGGAAGATTCCACCCGGAACGACGGACAAGAAATTGACCCCATTTTAACCCCCTTAGGAGTGGAATTTTCAACCTCTTGTGGATTAATAATGCATTGTCATCGAATTGTGAGCTACCCTGAAAGTTTCAGCCGGATAGCTAATCGGGAAGTGCTCGATTTTTGGAACTAAATTAAGACAGGTTAATAGGCTTCTGTCTACGTGGTAATTTTTTTTTTCAAACATATTAATTTCCTAATAGCTGTGAGTGAAAAAACTATTTCGGTGTATTAAATATCTGAATTTTTCGTGCAAAAATAATTTATTAATTGTTTTCTTAAAATACATTCACAACATTTTATGAAGTCTCAAGCTACCTCAGGTTTCACTACAGTTATTAAAAAATCAATTCAAATATTTCAAATAGACCACTATATCTACTGCAGATGGGAGCATTGACCAATGTGAGACGACTGGTCAGCAGTTCAAACCTATATATGGGTCAAGAGATCATGAATAGCGCACTATTATCCCTTTTCATAATACAGTAACATTATAAATGGATTCATTACTCAATGTCTTCATCTACTTCGCGTTGTATTATGGTTGTATTAATTATTTGTACATAAAATAAATACCAATAGTTTTAAATTTATTTATGTTTTAGACTATTACATTTAGACTCGATAACAATTTAACTATAAAACCTAAGTTTAAATAACATTCTTTTTTTTTACATCTACTCATGGTAAAAAAAATTACAAAGAACTATTTTCATGATTTTATTATGCGAGTTTATCATTTCAACAAAACCATATTTTGAAACAGAGCTGTTAACACAATTATAATTAAAATCGTGTCAACTTAGCAAAAATTTTAGTAGTTTTGATATTCACGTACTTGTGCTTTAACTATCCATAAGTCATAGCTCATAGTATAAATAATATACAAGTTATTGAAAATCGGATTGTCTTCGTATTGTTTATTTAGACGGCTGTATGTGTTATTTTGTGTACACACGGGTATAAGATACGACTGGGCCAACTATGATAAAACCTATGTAAATAACACTCACATGTAATAGTTAAAAAAAATTTTTTATTGAAAAATAGGTACATAAAATGTGCAAAATCATCGAATACAATAAGAGTATTGCCTAAACTTCTTGTACAGAATATTAGGATACTTTATAAAATATGTACTACATGACTTGGTAAAAATATTGAAAATTCAAACTGTTAAAAATATTATACCACGAAGCATACTATTTACTGAACAGTTCAGTGACACTAAATTTTTTCCATACTGGTTAAAGTTATTAAAATGTACGTTTTTCACCGCTTACTTTATGTTATAGTTTTGTTTTTTTCATAATCACCGTTTCCTTTTTCTGTCATCTCAACAAAAAGACAAACGGTATTACAACGTTGCTAGCATACCCAACAAATTCTTATTAGTTAGTTCCTCAACACAGACTTAAATATGTAGCTACAAAGTGGAGTACAATACTTTGACCTAACCTAAACTAGTAAAATTATTTAAAGTATTTAAAGATTGATAAATACCAGTAGCAAATAAAAGGTATTGCTTTAAGTTTTAGCGATCCAATGTCATAACATAATATTTTAATTTTACATACTTATCAATATTTTATAAATTTAATTTTAAAAACTAAATAATTTACTAATAAATACGGTACAACAAATTACGCATCAGCTATTTCATACTATTAACGTCATGTAATTTACGACGCAGTAAAAGTCTTGTTTGAACATATCGACCCATTGTTCTACAAATACTTTTAACGGTGCTATATAGGTTTCTTGGATATCACCGTTTGCATGATCACTGATTATGTTGTTTGACTGCAAAACGCTATAGTAGTCAGTTACGTTTATACCATATGATTTAATTTCTCTTTCGATTGTATTCTTCAAAATAGTCGCCTTAATATGGGGAATTTTGTTTTGCTCAAAACACCAAACGAATAAATTAAAAATGTGACTAAGTGAATCAACTTCTAAATTAGAATACACGATGCTTTCAAATAGTCTGAATTTGTCTAAAATCGACGCTATTTGATCGTCGGTAAAGTTTACTTCGTTTTGACCTGCAGACCGTAAAATATTCAATATGTATCCTAAAAATATGGACGTTACACTGTTTTGAACCAAACCCTGATACACAACAAACTTTTTTGGATTTATACTGAATACGACTTCTTCTCGAATAGCTTGAATTGTTTTATATGCTCCATCCCACTGGATCTGCAATTCAACGATACAATTTAACGGACTAAAATCGTAGTCCACGAGCCTTTCAAAGGAAGCTTTACTCAAATTAACATCACATTCATTATCGATCAGCGTTTGTCGTACACGTATGGGTTGCATCGCACTAATAGCATTGTCTATATCTTTAAAAATTTGGCCAATTGTGTTCTGTGATAAAACGACTGGTAAGCTATATATTTGGCTGTTTATTATTGCGCGAGTGTACTCTTTAATACCACAATTCCAAACTATGTAGTTTTCCAGTTGAATCGTAATTAACAAGGCTAACCGGTTTAGCTGACTTGGTTGCCGAAAAACGTCTTGCATATTATCGTCAATCGGATATGTTGTGCTTACTTTGTACATGTACATTAGGACTAATGCATTTCTAATATAAACATTTTCTGCTCTTGGTGCATTGGACAGATAGTATGAGACTAATTTCACTAATTTTGGTAATCGTAGTTTAAGTTCATCAAACCCGAAAAGCAAACGCTTTAAAACAGTTTCCTTAGCATCTATCTTATCGTGGTTGTATACATTTATATGGTGTATCATGAGATCAAATAGTTTAATAACTTTTGCCAACAATTGACATAGTTTGTTTACTACTGCCGAGTCGTCGAGTTCTTTGGCGGGTTCTATCATTATGGAATCTTCGAAACCAAAGGCGTTCCATAACAAGGCGTTGCTCAAACTAACATTATTTATGGATTCTCTCACGTTCACTATTTCTTCTGTGAAGTTCCTAACGATCTCTAACGGGGTTTCATTATAAATTGACACTTCTTTGTCATAAAAGTCAACAACAGATGTTTTCAGTTCTAACTCTAAAAGCTTTACGACTTCTATTGGATCTACAATATGCTGATTTTCTAAATAAAAATTAAGAGTCTCCAAAGTCTCGGTTGTCTCTGATCGCCATTCTACAGTCAGAAATTTCATAATTTCGTCTTTCAAGAGGTCCCAAAATTCATTTCTCTTTAATGGCAGTCCATCTGTTATTGCTGTAGGTGGTTGAAAAACAAAAAGATGAATACTTTGAAGTAATTTGTTTAATGAAGTCCGAACAGCAAACTGATGCAACATTTCTTTGACAGGGCTTATGACCGAAGAACATGCAGCAGCGATAGCCGGACGATCTATGTTAATGAAATTCAACCATTTTCTTTTCAAAGATTTGTAAAAAGTTTCCTGGCAATCTTCTTCCGAATTTGAATATCTAATAGACAAACAAGCCTCTCTAATTGCCGGAAAATGTACGCTTTTAAGTTCTACCCAATTGTTTCTTAACACAGTAAAAAAATTCGGCGGACAGATCCCTTTGTAAATTTTGTATTTTATATCACTGAATTTAATAAGGACAGTTACTAATATTTTTTCATAAAACATCTGAGTGACTGACTGAAGTGTTAGTTTTTGTAATGTGGCGAGTTTCTTCGTACTATACTGAGATGCGACTTCATGTAGGACGTCTGATATCTCCTTAGGCTCACCTGACCAGCTGACATGTATTTTGTGATCACTCGACTGTTGTTGTTCAATTATTCTCCATATGGTATCCAAGTCGATATTAATGGCATCAGCATTATATAGATCTAAATTATCAAATCCGAGTGCAACAAAACGTTCGTTGTATTCACTCAATAGATTATACGTGGTAGATTGTAATAAGTCAATTTTTTTTTTTTGTTGATATGATATTTTATACTGGCGTAATGATTTGGGTACCGGCAAACAGTACACTACTGAAAAAGTTTTTAATTGAAGGCCAATGGAAAAAATAAATTGTTCTATTTCCTGAAATTTCATTTCAATATTAATTTTATTTGGTTTACCTTCAGTCTCTAAGAAACGAGATTTTGTATATGTCTTTGTCTCATATTCTGAATATAGTTTCAAAGCCATCAACGCGTTATATATTTGTTTAAAATCGGTTGAGGTAGGTGACAACTGATAGAAATATGATAAGATATTCAACATTCGTGTGATCGTAGAATCTATATTTTTGATATTTTCCAACAATGAATTTACACAATTGGAATAATTTTCCACTTCTTTTTGATTTCTACACTCAAGTATAGTAGCTAATACTAAAACGATGTACTGTCTTACGAATTTTGAGTTATCACAGCATAAAAAGATTGTCAAATGTCTTATCAGCAGTTCGGTAGGTCTTTTAGGGATTATATTTTTATCGTCAAAGGCATTTAATAGCTCTAACATAGTTATTTCCTTACCGTCGTCTATGATTTTTTCTGTTTTCAACGAAATCCACACGGGGTTTTTCATCAGCTCGTTCAACTTAAGAGCAGCATCGTCGTGAGCCAAAATTATTCTTAGAGGAATATTTGCTAAAAAAGCAAATAAAAAGTTCAAAAACCGTTTTGAGTTCATGTTGACAATATAGAGTCGCAAATTGTACTAAGCTATGAACAGAAGTATGAAATTAATTTAGTATTCAGCGGCATGAAGTTATGTATACTTCATTTTTATGTGTTTGTAATTTGATTTGCATTAAACGTCAAAAAACGTTGGTGTTAGAACGTTAATCACGCATATGTTGATTTCATATTTTATAATAACTATATCAAATTTGTATTTCTACAAACATTACTTATCTTTATTTTTTTTAATATAAGAGCTTTATATTGCGTTCCTAAAACTTATTATAGTACAAATTCCTACAGTAAAAAACTTTATTTAAATACGTGTTATCCTCTACAATATTGCATTTAAATATTTAATTTTAGCGTTTGGTAGTTATTTGCAATTGGCGTCTAAAAATGATTAGGTGTGACATTATCCTCACACCTTTTTGACCCTGTTGGTTTTTTTTTATACTGCTGCTTCTTTACATATTTATTCATTGTAATATAAATCAGTACAAACATTGTTTGAATAGCAGATACATATGATAGAATATTACAGTTTAAGAGTACCTATTAACAGATTCCAATTATATGTTTTGCAATTACAAACGAATTGTTAAAATGTATTTAATGTTTTCAGGTTTTTCCTTACAAGTACTTACATTTAACTAGTAATTTGTTTTCTAAATTTCGGTTTACATGAACTATGTATATTTTGGTAATGTAAAATATATATATTTTTTTAAATAACAAATCTAAAATTATATTTCTGCATAGATACAACTAGCAGTTGAGACCCAGATAATTTGGCTTGAGATTCTTAAAAACTCTTTAATCTCCTTTAAAATTAAAAACGTGACTTGCGAGCGATAGTTAATTGGTAGCTAGGCTTTATTTTTTTTGAAACTGAAGAAGTTAAAACATTTATTTTCCTGTTCCCTCGTGTGCTAATGTGTTTTTTTGCTAGTTCTTAAATTAAAATAAATTGTTATTATGTTTTTATATTTCGTAATATCAAAATACTATTACTGTAATTATCATATTTATTTTGCAAAAATTATAATTATTGATTTAAACACATTTTTAATGGTATAGGTAAATAAAATTAAAAACTATTGTACCAGTCAAATTGTGGTATTTATTAACGAAAATAGTCATATATATATTATTTTCAATTAAGTTGTGTTATAAATAATACACATACAATTTTTTAACATATGAATTATATTTTTATCATTGTTTAATACTATTTAGCATGTTTGTAAAAACATTTTGAAAAGTGCTATATTCTTAGGAACAAATTGCATTGATGTCTTATTAATTTTAGCTATGGACAAAACTAGAAATAATATGTTCAGGGATATTTTGGAATAATTGAGATAAACTGTATAAATACCCATCAGAAAAATAATGTAAAATTAACGTAGTGTTAAAATAATGATTTTACTGACGTTATTATATTATCAATTTCATGTAATTTGCGACGCAGTAAAAATCGTTTTTAAACTTCGCTACCCATTGTTCTACAAATACTTTTAACGGTTCTATATAGGTTTCCTGGACATCACCGCTTGCATGTACGTCACTGATTATGTTGTTTGACTTCAAAACGCTGTAGTAATTGGACATGTTTAAACCATAAGATTTAATTTTTCTCTCGATTTTATCTTTTAAGATATTAGCTTTAACATCGGAAATTTTGTTTTGCTTGAAACACCAAACGAGAATGTTAAAAATGTATTTAGGTGAATCCACTTTTAAATATGGATACACGATGCCTTCAAATTGTTTGAATTTGTCCAAAATCGACGATATTTGATCGTCGGTAAAGTTTACTTCGTTTTGACCTGCAGACCGTAAAATATTCAATATGTATCCTAAAAATATGGACGTTACACAGTTTTGAACCAAACCCTGATACACAGCAAACTTTTTTGGATTCATACTGAATACGACTTCTTCTCGAATAGCTTGAATTGTTTTATATGCTCCATCCCACTGGATCTGCAATACAACGATACAATTTAACGGACTAAAATCGTAGTCCACGAGCCTTTCAAAGGAAGCTTTACTCAAATTAACATCACATTCATTATCGATCAGCGTTTGTCGTACACGTATGGGTTGCATCGCTCTAATAGCATTGTCTATATCTTTAAAAATTTGGCCAATTGTGTTCTGTGATAAAATGTCTGGTAAGCTATATATTTGGCTGTTTATTATTGCGCGAGTGTACTCTTTAACACCACAATTCCAAACTATGTAGTTTTCCAGTTGAATCGTAATTAACAAGGCTAACCGGTTTAGCTGACTTGGTTGCCGAAAACCGTCATGCATATTATCGTCAATCGGATATGTTGTGCTTACTTTGTACATGCACATTAGGACTAATGCATTTCTAATATAAACATTTTCTGCTCTTGGTGCATTGGACAGATAGTATGAGACTAATTTCACTAATTTTGGTAATCGTAGTTTAAGTTCATCAAACCCGAAAAGCAAACGCTTTAAAACAGTTTCCTTAGCATCTATCTTATCGTGGTTGTATACATTTATATGGTGTATCATGAGATCAAATAGTTTAATAACTTTTGCCAACAATTGACATAGTTTGTTTACTACTGCCGAGTCGTCGAGTTCTTTGGCGGGTTCTATCATTATGGAATCTTCGAAACCAAAGGCGTTCCATAACAAGGCGTTGCTCAAACTAACATTATTTATGGATTCTCTCACGTTCACTATTTCTTCTGTGAAGTTATTGACGATCTCTAACGGGGTTTCATTATAAAGTGACACTTCTTTGTCATCAAAGTCAACAACAGATGTTTTCAGTTCTAACTCTAAAAGCTTTACGACTTCTATTGGATCTACAATATGCTGATTTTCTAAATAAAAATTAAGAGTCTCCAAAGTCTCGGTTGTCTCTGATCGCCATTCTACAGTCAGAAATTTCATAATTTCGTCTTTCAAGAGGTCCCAAAATTCATTTCTCTTTAATGGCAGTCCATCTGTTATTGCTGTAGGTGGTTGAAAAACAAAAAGATGAATACTTTGAAGTAATTTGTTTAATGAAGTCCAAACACCAAACTGACGCAACATTTCTTTGGCAGGGCTTATGACCGAAAAACATGCAGCAGCGATAGCCGGACGATCTATGTTAATGAAATTCAACCATTTTCTTTTCAAAGATTTGTAAAAAGTTTCCTGGCAATCTTCTTCCGAATTTGAATATCTAATAGACAAACAAGCTTCTCTAATTGCCGGGAAATGTACGTTTTTGAGTTCTTCCCAATTGTTTCTTAACACAGTAAAAAAATTCGGCGGACAGATCCCTTCATAAATTTTGTATTTTATATCACTGAATTTAATTTGGACAGCTACTAATATTTTTTCATAAAACATCTGAGTGACTGACTGAAGTGTTAGTTTTTGTAATGTGGCGAGTTTCTTCGTACCGTACTGAGATGCGACTTCATGTAGGACGTCTGATATCTCCTTAGGCTCACCTGACCAGCTGACTTGTATTTTATGATCACTCGACTGTTGTTGTTCAATTATTCTCCATATGGTATCTAAGTCGATATTAATGGCATCAGCATTATATAGATCTAAATTATCAAATCCGAGTGCAACAAAACGTTCGTTGTATTTACTCAATAGATTATAAGTAGTAGATTGTAATAAGTCAATTTTTTTTTTTTGTTGATATGATATTTTATACTGGCGTAATGATTTGGGTACCGGCAAACAGTACACTACTGAAAAAGTTTTTAATTGAAGGCCAATGGAAAAAATAAATTGTTCTATTTCCTGAAATTTCATTTCAATACTAATTTTATTTGGTTTACCTTCAGTCTCTAAGAAACGAGATTTTGTAAATGTCTTTGTCTCATATTCTGAATATAGTTTCAAAGCCATCAACGCGTTATATATTTGTTTAAAATCGGTTGAGGTAGGTGACAACTGATAGAAATATGATAAGATATTCAACATTCGTGTGATCGTAGAATCTATATTTTTGATATTTTCCAACAATGAATTTACACAATTGGAATAATTTTCCACTTCTTTTTGATTTCTACACTCAAGTATAGTAGCTAATACTAAAACGATGTACTGTCTTACGAATTTTGAGTTATCACAGCATAAAAAGATTGTCAAATGTCTTATCAGCAGTTCGGTAGGTCTTTTAGGGATTATATTTTTATCGTCAAAGGCATTTAATAGCTCTAACATAGTTATTTCCTTACCGTCGTCTATGATTTTTTCTGTTTTCAACGAAATCCACACGGGGTTTTTCATCAGCTCGTTCAACTTAAGAGCAGCATCGTCCTGAGCCAAAATTATTCTTAAAGGAATATTTGCTAAAAAAGCAACTAAAAAGTTCAAAAACAGTTTTGAGTTCATGTTTGCAATAGTGGAATGCGAGTTGTCTTGAACTATGAACATAAGTATGAAATCAAGTAGCACCAAGAATTTATATGTTTAATTTTTTGTACGTTTGTATTTTTATTTACATTTAACGTCAACAAATGTTTCAGTTGCGAACGTCATTCTGGCATCTGTTTAACCATGTTGATTTACATAGTATGTAATAATTATATCGAATTTGTATGTTTGTTTTGTATTTCTACAAACACTACTTATTTCATTTTTTTGCCTATAACAGATTTATTTTTCGACCCCAAAATGTAGTGTAATACAAATTCCTACATTACATAACTTTATTTAAATACTTGTTATTTTCTACAATATTGCATTTAAATATTTTATTTTCGTACTTGGCAGTTATTTGAATTTTAGTCCACAAATTATTAATTTGTTTGACATTATCCACACATTTTTATGAGCCTGTTGGTTTTTTTTATACTTGCTGCTTCTCGAAATGTTGTAATTTTTAGTAATACAAACATTGATTGGTTGCTGGACATATTTTGAAAATGTGAAAAATGTGGCAATTTGTTTATGTGCTAGTTTTTAAATTACAATAAATTATCATAGTATTACCTTTTTAACTATTATATTTATTTTAAAAATATTTCAACTAATTATTTTCCTACGTTATTAGTCGTGTAGCAACAATTAGAAACTACCGTATCAGTCAATTCGTAATATTAAATAACAAAAATAGTCGTCATTATATAATTTAATTTAGTTATTTTATTATAAATATTACTCATACAATATTTTAACATGATTTTACTAGCTATTTTATATTATCAATTTCATGTAATTCTCGACGCAGTAAAAATCGTTTTCAAACTTCGCTACCCATTGTTCCACAAATACTTTTAACGGTGCTATAAGGTTTTTATTGACATCACCGCTTGCATGTACGTCACTGATTATGTTATTTGACTTCAAAACGCTGTAGTAATGGGAAATGTTTATACCATAAAATTCAATTTTCCTTTCGATTTTATACTTCAAAATAGTCGCCTTAATTCCGGAAATTTGATTTTGCTTGAAACACCAAACAAAGATATTAAAATTGTATTCAGGGGAATCCACTTTTAAATTAGGATACACCATGCTTTCAAATTGTTCGAATTTTTCCAAAATCGACGCTATTTGAAGGTTGGTAAATTTTACTTCGTTTTGACCTGCAGCTTGTAAAATATTCAAGATGTATCCTAAAAATATGGACGTTACACTGTTTTGAACCAAAACTTGATACTCAGCAAACTTTTTTGGATTTATACTGGATAAGACTTCTTTTCGAATAGTTTGAATTAATTGTAATGCTCCATCCCATTGGAATTTTAATTCTGCGATACATTTTAGCGGATTAAGATCATCTTTTTTACCATCTACAAGCGCATCAAAAGATCCTAAACTTATGGTAATCTTACATTCATCATCGATCAGCGGTATGTCCCTCATTTCAAGTACTAAATTATCGATATCATAAATAATTTGTCTATGTGCATTTTGAAGACCACTTATCCTACTTTTATATTCTAGTATATCACAATTGTTTACAACGTAGTAATTAATTTGATTTATTATTAACAGAGTTAATTGTTTAAGCTGCTCCACTATCCATGAACCGTCATTTACGTCATCATTCATTGGATTTATTAATTTTGTATCAAACATAAACATTAAAACGATTGCGTTTCTAAGATTCACGTTTTCTGTTTTTGGTGCTTTAAGCATCTCTAATAACAAAAAATGCACTATCGATAATAATCGTTCTTGGAGATTATCAGTTACGAAACACATACGATTAAAAATAAAATTAGAAAATCTTTTTTCTTGTTGGTTGTAGAAACCCAAATCATTTTTGAGTAAAGTGAAGAATTCTATAAGGCTTGTTGACAATTTACAAACTTTTTGCAGAGCCACATCATCGAATACTTTAGAGGGTCTTACTAATTTAGTTTCATCAAAATTGGAAGCGTTAAACAATAAAACATTGTTAATGTTTATATTATTAATAGATTTTTTCAGCTTTACTATATTATCGGTGAACTCCCTAAGGATTTCTAAACGTTTGTCGGAGTCAATCTCCCTCAGAGTCTCTTCATTGTCAGCGAAGTCTGCACTAGCTGTTTTCATTTCTAATTCCAAAAGTCCAATCACATCTTCTGGCTTTACATTGTTGTGCTCATTTTCGAAGTAAAATGTAAGAGTTTCCAAAGTCTCAGCTATTTCTGCTGGCCAATCTACAGACAGAAATCTTTTTAATTCGTTTTTAAAAAGGCCCCAAAACTCTTTCTTGGTTGACGCCAGTCTGTTGGCTATCGCTTTGGATGGTCGATAAAGGAAAGAGTAAATACTTTCAATTAATATTGATATCCATTTATTATACTCAGGTACGTTTGGTATCGTGGACCAGACTGTAACCGTAAAACACGCTGCAGCGATGGCAGGTAGTTTTATAGCCTTAAAATTCATCCAACGCCTTTTCAAAGAATTGTAAAAAGTTTCCTGACAATCTCCTTTTGAAATGGAGTTTCTAATAGATAAACAAGCCTCTCTAATAGCCGGGAAATCATTGCTTTTAAGTTCTACCCAGTTGTATCTTAACATGCTAAAAAAATTCGGCGGACAGTGTCCTTCGTAAATTTTGATTTTTGTTTCATTAAATATAGCCTGGACAGTTACTAATAATAGTTTATAAAACATCTGTGCGAAAGACTTCAGAGATAATTTTTGGAATGCGGCAAATTTCTTGGTACTGTACTGAGATTTGACTTCTTGTATGATGGTTGTTACCTCTGTAGGCTCGTTTAACCAGCGGATTCGTATTTTGTGACCATCTGGCTGGTGTTGTTCAAGTATTTTCCATATGTGCTGTATGTCGATATTTATGTTATTAATACTACATAATTCCAAATGTTTAAATCCGAGTGCAAGATAACGTTCCTCGTTAAATGTATTTATAATATTCAATATTGCTTCACTGTAATCTTCATTTGTATGCAATTTTCTGTCTTCTTCAGTGTTTAGCAACATTCGGATATATTTCTCATATTGAACTTCTATATCTATTTGGCGTAATGGTTGAATTGTTGGCAGGCAGTATATTACCGCAAACGTTTGTATTTGAAGATCGATGGAAAAATATAATTGTTCAATTTCCTTAAATTTTAGTTCAATTGTTATTTTATCTGGTTTCTTTTCAGCGTTTATTAAAGTGGATTGCGTTGCGGCCTTCGACTCATATTCAGAGTAAAGTTTCAAGGCCATCAACGCGTTATAAAAGTGTTTAAAATCGGTGAAGGTAGGTGACAACTGATAGAAATACGTCAAAATGTTTAACATTCTAGTAACCATAAAATCGATATTTCGAATATTTTTCAACGTTGAATTAAAACAATTGTTGTAGTCGAAGGGGAAATCTGCTTGCTCTCTACATAAACGTAGAATGCTTAAAACTAATATCATGTATTTTCTGACGAATTTTGATTGATCACAACTTAGAACTATTGTCAAATGTCTTATCAGCGGTTCGGTAGGTATTTCAGAGATTGTATTTTTATCGCCAAAGGCATTTAATAGTTCTAACATAGTTATTACCTTACCATCGTCTATGATTTTTTCGCTTTTCATCAGGCTCCAGCCAGGGTTTTTGATCAACTCTTCCAGTTTAACCGCATCATTGTTTTGAGCCAAGATTATTTGGTGAGAGAAAACAAGTAAAAATTTGAAAAAAAACATGAAGTACATGACTGTATTTAGATACGTATTATTGCCTTTAATACGGGCATAAATTTTTAAAGCAGTCGTTAAACAGTATTTGCATTGAGAAGTTTAAAATAAATTTTGAGTAAAAAACCGTTTGAGTACATGAATACAATAGTGAAACGCGAATGATCTAGAGCTGTGAACATAACATAGTACTCAGCGCAACAATTTAATTTTTAAGCTTTTGTTATCTTATTTGCATTTAACGTTAACATTTTTTTGGGTATGAACGTCGTTCACGCATCTGTATGGCCGTGTTGATTTACATTCGTAATATTTTTATTAAAGTTATGTATTTGTTTTATATATCTACATAAACAGCTTTTCTTTTTTTTCCTGTAACAGCTTTATAATACGTCCACAAAATGTAGAATAGTGTAAATTTCTACATTTGATTTGATATAATATGCCTAACGGCTATCATTATACATACTCTAATATATTAAATGTTGTCAGATTTTTTTATACATATCTACTTTTATTGGTAATTTATTCTCTAGAATATGGTACATTTGAATTATGTATGTTGTAATAATCTAAAAGACTATAATTTTTTCAACCATTGTGTTGCCGTTTTAACAGATGGTTGAAAACAGATGCATAACCGTTCAATTCAACGCCGAAAGTCAATTTTTTAAATCACAATTTGTCTATGTCATTTAGCTATAAACTGCGAATGTATCATATTTTGATACTATTTATCTTCATTATAATTAAAAAATAACAATTTTTTAGATAAATTAATTTATATAACGGCACGATCATATACTGAGTGATCCATCTGATGTATTTTTTCCCTACAGTATTAGGTACATATTTTACTTTATTTTTCAGTACTTAGAAGATTTTCATCATTATCGTTTATACGTAAAAGAAGGATGGAATTCGTTTTTTTTAATGTGAACATATGTTTTTAATTCCATAAATATCTAGACAAAAAATGTTTAAAATTGTTAGGAATTTAATTTTGAATTATCAACAATCTCTTCCTTTGCTATGACAATGTAAAAATTTGAATTTAAGATCAATATTCTTTTGTTTCTTACAAAAATAGCTCAATAGTTTCCCCTTTAATAATAATATTGACCCAGCCGATAACACTGTTACTATCACTATCACCGTGTTTCAATAGGTAGATAAGATCCGCTTGTCTATTATTATCTAAACCATTTCATTGTGTCTCGTTATTGATGTTCACGGCTATCGGAAAATGCGCACATAAATATGTGAATTTTATGGGCAACTGGAATTTGGAAACCGAAGACATATGATAATAATAAGGGGAAATGTAATAACTTTGCATTGTCATAGCAAACGAACAGCGTAATGAAAATTAAAAATTCAAACTCTAAAATATTTTTAAATTTTTTGTCTACATTCTAATGGAATTAAAAACATATATCCCCATTAAAAAATATATATCCATACTTTTTTACACATAAGTGATTAAGATAAAAATGTTTAACGTATTAAAAAAAAATATAGTAATATATGTACAATGTACATTGTATCTACAAGTATAGGAAAATTTTTTTTTTTTCAAAATATTCCGATTTTCTGAGAAAATGAGTATCTTACATGAGATAGATACCCTGTAAATTCTTAATCTTGATAGAAATTTGAATTATTATTATTATGATATAGATTCCAAAACGAATTTGCCTATTGAAACAATTTTATATGGAGACGATCGAGAATAGAAAGAGAAGTGAATTAATATGATGTTTTTTTACTAAAAGAGTTCAATTTTCCAAAGTGGATTGCTGAAGTCATTTGGAAAATAGATATAAAAATAACAATCATATATCTAGCTATTAATTTAAAAAAACCTGTAAAAAATGTATGAAGCATAAATTTTCTATGTATCTTTCAATATTTCTATACATTTTTTTGATAAAATTGAGAATACCAATACGGTCATACTTCTAGATGCAAAACAAAACGTCTCATAGTTATTTATCTCAAATTTACATCGATGTTTTGGTTGGTAGATATAACACCCTCTTCTCTTGATACACTTCCACATTCGAACTAATTATTATTAGTCTCTCAGCAAATATCTGGATCAAGGAAGAGTTATTCTATTTGTAGTTTTTCACTGCAAGATGAACGTCCTATAGTGGCGATTTCGATGGCCATCTACCTGTTGCCCGTCTGTTCATTATAATAATAGATATCTTAAGAGGATGTCATACCAAATATGAAACGTATTGAGTTTTTCCACTCACTGGTAGTCAAATTTGCTTTTTTAATACGCAACTGTAGACAAAAGTGCAGTGTCCATACTTAGCTATACCACTCTCTCGTAGGAATTTCCCTATTCTTAGCTCTGATCAATTATTTTGCACATTATTGCCAGTGAATCAACCTAATCGTTCTCGACACACTCTGATCTCTACGTTGAAGTTTATGTGAACACTCAATGTTCTTATAACGCTATAATTAGCTAAATTTAATTTTTTTCTCTAACTGATTAATCAAGAATTCATTCGATTACATGCGCAACACGTATTATTGTCTTATTATGTATAATTCGGGTTTGGCCGTCTAGAGTTCCAAATATGTAGCTAGCAGTAATAATATTCAACCACACCAATATCTCGTTTTAATGTTCTTACTTTAGTAGATGTTTGATAATTATTGTCGTACGTTTCGCCGTTGATTCCCATTGTGCTAAATCATAATATTAAACTATTTGTAAAACCTTGACCAAGCAAAAAGCGCTTTAATCAGTGATAAAAAAATAAAAGTATTTTTCATTTATTAAAAAACGGTTGGCTGTCACATCACTTAAGATGTTTAAACAGCAATCTCTTAAAAATTATTTTCAAAGAATGTCAGACAAATATTTCACAGTAGACTCATCAAGTATTCGAAGACTACAAAACGAGTAAAATATCAGTTAAACTAGAATATATTACTCACTTAACATCATTCCGATTTTATAGGCCCGTTTATACTTATCAACCTAGGTACCTAAGCCTATGTAAACACATCAGAAACAATGTGAAAGTTTAGTACTAGTCGGTTATGTTGTAGAATATGTATAAAACATTAAAAATCGACATTAATTTATTATTTAAAATTGATTTATTTTAGAAATATTACATACACAATATTTTAACATGTAAAATGATAATTAATCATTAGTGTTCACTACCTATACTAATACCTTAATTCGTAAATAAGATATTTATTATTGATGTCAAACACTGTTTACTATGCATTTAATATTTTTTCTTAACCGCTCATTCATATATTTTGAGTTTTAGTTACTGACAAAATTAGAAATATTAACTAAAAAATTATTTTCGTTTTTACATTCTATTTATAAAAACTATGTTTTAATTTCTTTCGGAATGTTGGTGTCCCAATAATAAAGTGTTAAAATTAATTAATTCACTCTTAATATTAAATTATCATTTTCATGTAATTTGCGACGCAGTAAAAGTCGTGGTCAAACATATCAACCCAACAGTCCACAAATAGTTCCAACGGTTCTATATAGGTTTTTTGGACATTACCGCTTGCATTTTCCCTAATTATTTTGTTTGCCTTCATAACGCCGTAGTAATCAGTGATGTTCATACCATAAGATTCTATTTTCCTTTCGATTTTATTTTTCAAAATATTCGCCCTGACATAGGAAATTTTGTGTTGTTTAATACACCAAATAAAGCCATTGAAAACTGTTCTAGGCGAATCCACTTTTGAACTAGGATACACAGTGCTTTCAAATTGTTCGATTTTTAATAAAACCGACGCGATATGATGATCTTTAAAATTTACTTTTTGTTGACCCACATCCAGTAAAATATTCAATATGTAACCTAAAACTATAGACGTTCCGCTGTTTTGAACCAAAGTCTGATACATGACAAACTTATTTGGATTCATACTGGGTACGACTTCAGTTCGAATAGTTTGAATCGATTTTGACGTTCCATCCCATTGGAATTTTAACTCATCGATACAATCCAACGGACTAAAATCTCCGTCCACGAGCCTTTCAATAGAAACTTTACTTA